TAGAGAGGTGCTACAGATCATCATACTTTCAAAGGCGATAAGAGAGGCTAACACATGGGATCCAGAGGCATTGGACTCAGTCAAGAGTAGAGAAGAGGAGACTGGGGGAATCCTTCATGTCCTTTCTTGCATGCCAATTCAATTGGCTGGAGTGTGGTGTAATGTTTTCAGATGGTCGTCCCATGAAAACCCCTGAGGCATAGGGTGCTTTGAGGTTCCTTTCCCAGTCCATCTGACCAGATCCTTTCCAGGCTCCAGTGGTTTATACCTCCAAGCGAGGGACTTCTGTAAGCTTGTCTTTTCCTTGGATTTCCAATGTGTTGGAGGAGCTCCTGGAATTGAGCTGTGGTCAAGGTTGCTGTAGTCATGGTTGGAGGATCAGATGGTGGGATAACTGGATCAGATTCAAAGAAGGCTTGTCTGAATCCCTGTGGACTGAACAAGGATGGCGCGGTACTGTTGAAGGAGTTGATGATGAAGAGGATGCTGAAGATAAGGAAGCGTCGTCAATGTCCATAATAGCTGATGGAATAGGAGGCAGTGAAAATCAAACAAGGTCAACAGTGCGGCAATGCAATGGCAACAGGAGGAGGAGACGGTGGATAATGGCAGTTGGATCTGACGTCGAGGTTGAGGCCACCCCGAATTGTTTGGCAAATTAAATTTAAATTAAATTTAACAGCGACAGCGCGTTGTTATCTTTCAAACGACCAACTGCAAGCCAGTCAAACGACCGACTGCAACAGAAAGCCAGCAACCGGAGGAACGGCCAATAATAGGGGTAAAGTGGCTCCGGAGCATGACCAATGCATATGCATGACACACAACCGAGTCGTCAAGATAATAGGATCTCATCACGATTCGATCGACAACAGATAAAGAACAAGGGGAACAAGTGGATTGCTTACGAGCGAATCAACAAAAGGGGATTGCTTGCGACGAATCCAAGGTATCGACAAAGGGATCATATGGACCAATCGACAGATTAAGTTGCAATAAGGGAAGGACTATCGATGAAGATAATGAGAGGAAACTCAGGACTCTGCACCAAGGGATAGCTCATTCCATTGACAACCATAAGGGATAGACATATAAGAATAAGAATGAGTAACATCTCATAACCTCGCATGCTACCATGCGACAATACCATTGTGGATTGATTAATCTAACGATCTAAGAGATGTAAAGTTTGTATTTCCAAATAAGTGAGCAGTTATTGATTATTTTCTAGAATAGGCCCGCAATTTATAAAGCTGTAAAGCTGAATTGTAAGCTGTATCCCGTCGCAGTTTCTTCCCTTTCTTTGTCTTCGCAATGGCGATTCCTGAAGAATACAACTGGCCATCCTTGCGGTCCTGTTCAAGCTTTTGTTGGTAGTCTCTGAGCTTCTCGTAAGTTTCCCGGTTGCGTTTCTTCTTGTATTCCATTGTTCTTTGCTTACTGATTCTTTTCTTTCGATACACCTCTTGTTGTGCTAGGAAATACGCCGTTCCCTCTTCCATCTCGAGGCCGATGGTGTCAAACAACCGACGAAAGAACTCTTCCACTCCAAGCAATGTGATTCTGACAGCAATGCAAACCCGATTTTGGAGTGACAAAGAGCCGGCATAGACTTTGTTCTTTGGTGCCAACCAGGCAATAGTGTTGTTGAGTGACTCGTTCGCATTGGTGGTCATTTTGTGGTTCGATTCATCCAGTCTCTCCATGGTGGTGAATTGTTCAAAAGGTTCGACCAAAGATTCGTACAACGCTTTGTCTTTTGTCTTGCTTCTGTACCCTTTCCCACACTCATCCTTTTCCTCCTCTATCATGTCCTTGTGCAAACAGAAGTCGCCACAGAATTCGTGGTTGTCGAAAGTGTGTTCCAGAACGGCCTTTACTGCATCTGCCCATTGTTCTCTGGGCAAGTCGGGAAGCTTCTTCAGGAAGTAGACATAGTACGTGGTAAATCTGAGGATGTCTCCTGTTGTCAAATCGAAACTTGCTTTAACTCCTTTTCCCTTCATCGTGTACAGACGATTTCGCAGTGTTTTCTTCCGATGAGCCGGATCGGCAACAAACAATGGCTGTGGAATTGGATAACGGAGATATCCTTTCGATCTGTACTTCGGTTTGCCATTTTTGGTGTATCCAAGGACTGGTAGTTTGTCGAGTTTGTGATGTTTCAACCAATCTTTGTTGCTCCATTTGCAGTGAGCCTTCATCGTTGAGTCATCATCAGTGCAGATCCTGTCCATTTGTACATTGTACAAGTCATAGAGCTCCTCCACCATGATCAACAATGAAGCAGGTTCCATTCCACCGGAGCTACCTTCATAGTTGACCATGCATTCATGTTCGGGAACTTCCAGTCCACGGCTGAGATGGTATTGACATTTCCGACAGAACTTTGATCTTTGGCAGATGACAAGAGGCTTTCCGGTAAGTGCTCCCATAATACTGGCATGACCGGAAGGCGAATTGTAAGCCCTACCAGAACCTTTCTGATTCCATCCCATGTCCATTCCACCATTTACAGTTGCTTTGTGCAGTGGGCGCTCACCATTCCTGACAGCAGCTTCCCATTGAACAAAGTTGAAGTCGCCATCGTTGACACTTCTTCTCACTTCTTCCACAAGATTGTCCACGATGGCCTTATGACAAACTGCATTGATATGTGGAGCCAACGCAAGTTCAATGCCAGAGAATGACTTCTTGGATATGGTGATGTAATTTGGTAAGTTCAACATGGCAAGAGTTCGCTGTGCCTCTACGCCACCATCACCGGACCAAACAAACGCTAACACAAATTGTACATTCAATCCATAGTCAAGCTTGGTGACATGAGCTGACTTCTTCGGAATAGATGTTTTGGTCACTTCGGAACACTTGGTCTGACCAAAAGACTTGCATTCCTCATTGGCACAAGTCAACTGCCCAGTAGATGTCACACAGGTGGTGTTGAATGTAAGTTGAACAGAAGGTTGTCGGCATGTGTAACATCTGGTATGACCATTGACTAAGTCGGACAATCCTTTGTATTCTAGGATCAGTGTCCTTGGCGTCGGAGGCTTCTTCCTGATGGCTGATGCATCTTCTTGGACAAGAGGTGATTCAGCAATAAGTCCATGGTCACAGGCAATCGGAGATGGTGTGGGCTGTGGCTGTTCTTTTCTTTTTGGTGCTCCCATATTCAGTTTGTCCTGCTCCCAGTGAGGCTTTTTGGAGGCAATGTCCTTTGTTGTTCCGGATGACACCTTGTATATCTCTCCCTCGACAAGGTTTGTAGCCTTTGCTCCGGTCATTGTCGAACTTGAGAAATTTGGTGTAACTCCTCTCTGACGCCGACTTTGCCTCAATACCGGAGTTGCATCTTCTCCGCCTACCACTGCCGGAGTTACAATCTGTGGGTTGTCTGTAGAGGTTTCAGCTCCTTCCTCTTCTGAGGCAACATTCATAACTTGCCGTTGTTTACTTTTGTTGCCACAGAATTGGCCATGGTCGCCAGTTGCCAGCTAAAATAAAGAAGAATTCCAAAAAGGAAGATTCCATCTGCCAGCTAACTGACTACAATCGCATGAGATTGACTACGTGGCCATGAAGAATGGTTTAGCATTGATTTCTATTTTAGCTATCGACTGTGGACTGACCAAAACAAACTCGGGAGTAAAAGCGGGTGGTACCTCCTTAACACGTAAAGTAAGTGCAGATCACTCTACCGTTATTCGAGTACGCAGGTACGCAGGTGCTGTGCTGTACATTTTGCAATATATCTTAATGTTGAAATAAGTCAGTATTTTCAACACTTTACTGCAAGCGTAATAAGCAAACGTAACAGAAACGCTTCGGAGTTTTCTCAAAACTCATTTTAAAAAGTGACCCCTTTACTCTTCGTAGTACTTTATTAATACTACTTTAGTGGCTAGCTAGAGTAGTTTAGCGATAAACAATTCAGATTTTGAGGGACTTTCCGGGGGCGGGGGCGCAAAACCCAACGCACCCCAGAAAGCCAAAAGGGGTCGTCGCAGAAATTTCCTCGAACAGAACACTCAAGACCGACTGGAGCAAAGTGACGGCTGTCTGGTTAGTGGCATAGTTGCTTTTCTGGTTTGCGCTTCGACAAGATGGCGAAAGGGAAGAAGCTAGCGGCTCGCAAGTCGGTGGGTTCCAAGACTGTGGCCCAGAAGAATGCTATCGGATTCGGAGGAAAGGGCATGCCCAAGAGAGCTCGCATTCATTACAAGTCGGGTGCCATTCATGGTGGGTAAAAGAATCGAATCGCACTATTCGCTTGAAGATCTTAAACGAAGACAGTTGTGCTACCGCAGCAAGAACAAGACGATTAGCTAGACGCCGTGTCTTGCAAGAGGTGTTAAAAAAGATGTCTCCTCTGACTTTTGTTTCTTTCTCTCTACCCCCATTCAACAGGAATATCAAAGCCAGCTATTAGGAGACTTGCACGACGGGCGGGATGCAAGCGTGTATCTGGTTTGATATACGAAGAGACTAGAGGTGTGCTCAAGTACTTCCTTGAGCGTGTGATACGAGACAGTATCGTTTATATGGTAAGAATCGCACTATTCGCTTGCTACCACAGCAAGAACAACACGAGTGTTAAAACAGACGTCTCTTCTGACTTTTGTTTCTTTATCTACCCATGCAACAGGAACACGCACAACGAAGGACTCTGGCCGCGAAGGATGTGCTCTATGCTTTGAAACATCAAGGAAAAACTCTCTACGGCTTTGGTTAAGATTTCATCTGTCCAGCTGAAGCAGGTTCTTCCCACTTCAGTTTCAACAACATTATGCTGCCTCTTTCGTGCTTCCTTGCTGTTTGTTGAATCTACCACCTATCAAGGCTGGATGAAGGAGGCATTAACGAGCCCTCTAATTGGTTGATGCAGAGACAGCAGAAGTTGTATATTATGCATTTGAGGGCAACTGGATGAGGACACTTTTTATTCGTTCTAAAGTAACATCCCCTTTATTTGAAATATTGAACTCCTTGAAATAACATAATCCCCCAGCGAATAGCAAAGCCAGCCACTACTAGGAGACTTGCGCAACGGGCGGGATGCAAGTGTGTATCTGGTTTGATGTACGAAGAGACCAGAGGTGTGTGGAAGTACTTTCTCGAGCGGGTCATCCGGGATTCCATCGTTGGAACACGCACAATGAAGGACCCTGGCTCTAGCTGCAAAGGATGTGCTCTATGCTTTGAAACATCAAGGAAAAATTCTCTATGGCTTTGGTCTTAAGATTTCATCTGTCCAGCTCAAGCAGGTTCTTCCTCACTTCAATTACAACATCGTGCTTCCATGCTGTTCTTTAAATCTACCACATATCAAGGCTGGACGAAGGAGGCATTAACGATCCCTCTAATTGGTTGATGCAGAGACAGCACAAGTTCTTGTATATTAGGCATCTGAGCGCAACTCGTTGAGGACACGTTTTGTTCGCTCTAAACTAAAGTAATATCTCCTTTTATTTGAAAGAGTGAGCTGCTTGAAATAACATTGTCTTGGCTGGCTATAGACAATAGAGTTGTAGAGTTGTAGCAAAACGCACTGGGGGTTGCCCATCATACACTGCTGGTTGGGTACGGTATACACATAGTAGGCTTCGAATTTGCGTCGGCACTCATCCGTCCTTACCCAGGGGACAAAGAATGATTGCAGAATTTGACCCAGACCATCAGAAGAGACTACGATACCGGTACGGAATAGTCTTTGAGCTAATTAGCAGAGGTCCTCTTTGAATCTTTCTCTTATGCATGAACTTTTTATACTATTGCATCTTTACTACTCACTCATCCGGTTGATGAAAAACATTGAAACCCCGCTATCAAACAATACTCAGTCTTCATTCGTCGGCCTCGCGCTGTATCGTTGGTTGGAATTCGACCAACAGCTGCGATTGCTCCTTATCATCCTATCTATGTGTCCACCTCTTCTTAGTTTCGAGCCGCTGCAATGATTGCTGCAATAGCCTCCATCTCTTTATTGGTCTTGTCGAGGGATGCCTCCAATGAATCGTCGCTTTCCACTTCACTTTCGAGAGACATCAAGATCTTGAGTTGCTCTTTCCTATCAACTGCAGACTTCTTCCATGCATATTCACGGTCTCTCATGGCTTTCAATACTGTTTTGTGTTGATCCATCATCGATTGCAAGGAAGCACTCAAGGAACCCAATCGATCATTCATGAAGTCGGACTTCTTCTTGAATTTCTCGTGCTGTTCCATCAAGTCCGTAAGTGTGATCCGTAAACCTACACGTTCCTCGAGGGCTTCTTTCAGTTTCCTTTCCGTTTCCTCTAGCTGTTTGGTCCTCTTTTGAAGGAAATCTTCTTTGGTTTCAAGTTCATTCTGAACTTCATCAAGTTCTTCCCGCGTCAGTTCTAGCTCATCTTGTTGGCGCGAGACCTTCTTCTCGAGTGCTGCTACCTTTTGCTTCAACGAAGCCTCGTTCTCCATGTTCTTTTGCGCGGCGAGCTCCCATTTGGATTCTTTGAGTCTATCTTTCAACACTGTAATTTCATCCTTTAGGCGACCCACCAAGAATGGTGTGGATGTGCTTGTAGGAGACTGATGTGGTTCCGTTGTCGAGATGTGAGGGGGTGTACGGCCACCACTGAGGCCACTATCATTCGATCGTAGTACAGAACTGTTGCGTGTGTCGCGTGTGTCCTCATCTCGTCGTTCTGCAAAGATGTTAACGTGGGTGTCCCCACCACGACGTCTTGGAGAAGAGGCTTGGGGCGAGGAACGACGGCTGCTGGTGCTTGCATGGCTGTGGGCACTGCTTGCGGGCTTTGTGTTGGTGCTAGATTGCCACTTCTTGATCACGTTGACTACCTCGTCGCGTTCATCATAATCACCTTCCATGGCCAAATCTAGAGGGGTATTCCCATCCGCATCGCGAGCATGGACTGCTTGGCGGTGAGCCACAAGAACCAAATCCATGATGCTAACTTCGGAGGGCCCCCAACATGCCAGATAATGCAAAGGGAGCATCCCGTTTGGATCCTGCATGGATGCAGCACCAGGATAGGCTACCAGCAACATTCGAATCACGTCTCTATGTGCTTGATTCCCGCATGCGTAGTGCAAGGCATACATGCCCTGATCATCGACGCACTTGGCGCCATCTGGGTATGCCTTGAGAAGAGCACTGACCACTTCTCGGGGAGGTTGTCGTGCACTGGCACTGTGAATGGGTAGAAATCTCCACATGATTTCACCTTTGGCTTCATCGCCTTCTTCGTCGTAGTGACGGACCACCCATGTCCTGCCTTCTTGCGGGCGTCGCGTGGAAGCATCAATGGCACCATCCCAATCGCAGTTGGTGATTGCTTGATACAAGTCAGTGATGTTCTTGTCGTAATCAACTTCTAGTGCCGAAGTAACCGTCGATAAGGATCGTTCATTGTTGCTGCGAAGAATTCCATAGACAGAACTATCGTCGAAAGTGCTTTGCAGATCTCCCTCACGGGGTTCAGCATTATAGACTCTATTGTACGGCATTGTTGGACACTGTTTTGGACTCCACCAACGCCAACGCCAAGGCTATCCAAAGGAGCAAGAGATAGATGAGCTAATTGGACTGATTGACCGGCGGTTTCGGTCGTCTTGTCTTGGTTGAAGTGTAATGGCGAAGGCGCTCATTCGATACAAGCGAAAGATGCCCCGTTGTCTGGGCGAAGATGAGACCAAAACAGAGTAAAAAGTGAGAGTGAAATCGCTGAAAGCCAAAGGCTCAACGGATAACCAACTGTTGTCGCATTCATCGTTGAGGTTCGGGTTAAAGATTTCGGAACGCACACTGTTCCATTTTTGCTCCCTTTTACCGCTTTACTTAACCCGTTGCATTCTTTGGGGGTTAGGGTGGGAGCCGGAGCTTTTTGTTTTCCTTTGGGCGTTTAGGCTCGTCGTTGAACGAATCGAACACCAAGACGAAGCTGTCGTACAAGCAACTCATCCCGTTCGAATAAGAATATCAGACTGAACCATGCTGGAAGCAACAGCATATCTGCTGTGTAAGATCGGCGGCAAAGCCGGCAGTGCCGATGATATCAAGGCCGTACTGGAGGCAGCGGGAGCCGCTGTGGATGAGGACCAAGTTTCCAAGTTTGTAGGGGATGTTGATGGGAAAGATGTCAATGAGCTTCTTGCGGCCGGTATGGAGAAGGTGAAGGATGTTCCGCTAGGAGGCGGTGGTGGTGGAGGCGGCGGCGGTGGCGGCGGAGATGGTGGCGGCGCCGCAGCAGCAGAAGAAGAGAAGGAAGAAGAGGAAGAAGAAGAGGCCGACATTGGCGGTGGAGATATGTTTGGAGGAGGAGGTGATGGCGGTGACTATTAGATCAATTGTTATACCAGAAACACTCCCCAATTCATTCCTCGGATTCCGACCTCAATGCTCGTTGCTTGCTTGCTGGTACAGTTTGTACCGTTTCTCCAGCACACAATCTACCTAGCTAGCTATTGAAGCTGAGCTTTGCGCTTCTATTGAAGTCACTGCCTAGATGAATACACATATCATTTCTGCATGAGTTATCTGAATTTGCGTTCGTTGAGTTTGCCATTATAGTCCTGGATGTCGCCACCCTGTCTTCAGCCAACCAATAGTTCAGGTCTATGTTTGTTCGGGATCCGTTTTACTACACGAACAGTATCGACGGAACTCGTTCCTGTACGTGCATTCATTCATGTTTCCGTGGATCCCAGAGTCAAGCTCTTTTGCCCCTTGTGGGTCCTCTATTTATCCCCTTGATCCCACCGAACCTATTCCTGAATTTCCACTCTTTCTTTGCCTAAGCCTCGCCCTCGCTAGATTCCATAGATACCGTCCCTACTCTTAAACCCCCTAAACCATTGTCCAATGCAATAACACTACATGTACATGTAGACTACCTACTAGACTATTGGATAGGTTCGATTCGATTCCTCATTGCTAATATTCCAACCTGTACTGTACCCATGCAGGACATGTACAAGCACACTTCTGTGAGGGTCAAGTTGTTTGCAGGCACGCGATGCCGTTTCTATGCTCCGTTCAGGTACCGTACCGGTACGGCTAGGTTTCAACATTCTCTAAAACGATACCGGTAAGATGTCTGTTCCAAGCATCAACACGTCTCTAGCTAGGCAGTGTTTCCAGCAAAACCTCCCTTATCGATTACTGGTAGGGTCGTACTAGTGTAGTCTAGATCGGGTGTTTAACTCTACCACAGAAAACGTATTGTCTAGCAGCAAGAGCTACACAAGGCTCCCAATCGTCGCTTTTCCTTACTTTCTTATTTGGGAAGTGTAAACGCCCGATTCGCGCCACCAGGCATGGGAAGTGGATTGGAGAAACCGTAAACGGAAATCAAGATCATCACGGCACCAATGACGAACTGCCCAGTGAGAGCTGTTCCAAAAAGGAAAAAGCTGCATGCCGTAGAAGTAACCACTGAGACTCCAGTGGCCATTCCTTTCAATACATTGTCGGCATACTTGATCACAGCGGCGACCAATAATCCGCCTCCCGCTTGCAATGACACCAACACCCATACCCAAAAGGTGAATCCATGGAAATATCCTTGACCCGCGGGAACATCAGTCTGCTTTGCCGATTGGAAGATTCCTTGTCCAATCGCAATGCATACACTAAAGAATGCCAATTGCATGTTTCTCATCCACAAGCTGGGAGCTGGTGCTGTTTGTCCAGCGGCTGCCGGTTTTTTGACGACGTATTCAAAATAGACTCCTGCCAAAGCACTCGAGAAGCAGGCGGTAGTGACGGATACCAATCCGACAAATAGATTTTGCGAGCCCGATTCTTCATTGTCTTTGCTGCCCCCTTTTTCGCCCAGGACCACAGTGGCAACCCCCAAACTGAGGAATACCAGGCAAACCCATTGTTGGAATGAATATTTGCGCTGCAACATAATGACACTAACCACGGCCGTGGTAACCAATTTTGCCTGGTAAGTGACTTGGAAAATGGGAGCTGTCAAGTTGGACAGTGCCACATACAGCAGTGTATTTTGCAGCAGGTACAAAAGTGCTGGGACAAGAATCTTGAGCGCATCGACGGGACGATCCAGAATGTGAAGTTGGATCGACGACATGAGCTGCCCATTGGTTCCTTGGTATTCCAAAGCACATGACAAGATGAACTGAAAAAATAAGTAAAAAAATAATTTGGGTGACAACGAGAGAAAAAGTCATGAGCACCAATGCACACGAATCGCATGATTCGAATCAAATTGAATCGAATCTAAAATCCAAAAACAAGAATGAGGCACCAACCTTGAGCATTTCACAAGTGCAAATCAAGTGATTGACCGAGTAAAGCTCCTCTTTTGGCACTGAGGATCGAGTGTGTCTTCCCACCAACACGGTACTGGAGTTTTGGGCTACCATCATGACGAGAAGGAGCAGTTTGAATTGTTGAGAGGCAGTCCCATCCTTGGTCTTGTCCGTTGCTGCATTCTTGGGGGGACTCTCAGTAGCATTTCCAGTCAAGGGCTTCATCAAGGAATCGTCTTTTTGGTCCGACATTGTTTCTTCTTTTATTATCTTCAGCACTGCCTCCTGGAAAGTCAAAGAGCTCACTTGAAAATGACAAAAGACAAAAACCTTGCGACCATCACCTTGATCGCGGTGCACAAACCAGCCGTTCAAAATAACAATGACCTATGTGACGCGGTATCCATGATTGCGAGTCCTGGTTCGTTACAAGATGGGCGACCTCAACAATTTTGAAGCGCCTCACTTTCCAAAATTTTGTTTTCGGTTCCGAGGTGTGATGATGAGGATCCCTGTTGACTGCTGAGTAAATCAAAGCTGTTCTTCCTATCCACCCGTCCCGTACATAGTGTCTTGTCTATCATACTCATCAGTATTAGTTAATCAATCAGTTGGAGTAGCAAACCATGAGTGCCTCTAGCACTACTACGAGCTCTTCCAACATGCATTCCACGGAGGGGAGTTCGGTGACCTCCGTGTCCGACTCCTACACCACGACGAGTTACAGCACCGTGGATCCTCCGTCTCATCTAGACATGAAAGTCCACAGCGAGAGATCAGTAATCTCTGCCATGTCTGATCCATCCGCTGCTTCGGTTTCCACGGCTCATGCCCAAAATACATCCTTGTCCAACATGCCCGTCTTCTCCCCCGTGCTAGAAGAAACCAGTTCAGCCCTCGAAGATGCATCTTCCTATGGTGGAGTCACCAACAACAGAACCGGAAACTCTCATGACACTGGTGGAAACTCTACTGTCAGTTCGGCGCGTTTGCGGACTTCGGTAGATGCGGAAGGTGTTAACATCGAAATCACCAACACAAGCAGTCTTCCTCCTTCGCCCGTGGGGCCGGTCTTGCCATTGGAGTGCGATTACGACAAAAATCCTACTGAACTCTATCATGCTATTGAATCGAAAAACTGGGAAATCATCGAGACTCTCTTCAACGATGAACCCCTCAAGGCACAGCGACAGGTGGCCACTTGGGTGACCAGGAAAGAAACCAATGGAAAGTTGCGTTGGAGATTGCTACCCATTCATGCGGCCATCATTTTTCAGTCGCCCTCCAACATTGTGGCCAAACTATTGAACCATTGTCCCGAGGCTGCACAGGCAAAGGATGATCAGGGCATGTTGCCCTTGCATCTGGCCTTTCGTACCAAGAATACGGACTGGGAGGCCATTGAGGAACTCATTAGTGCGAATCCAAGTGCTATCTTTGCCAGAGACCGAAAAGACAGGACTCCTCTCGAATGTGGGGCTGCAGCAGCCAATGCGGCCATCATGGCAGAAGTTTCGGCAAAGGCTGCGACAGAGAGCGAAGCTTCGACTGCAGCTGGATCCAAAAAGTCGGGCTTGATGAGGGCTCTCTCTCCGAGGGCAAAGGCCGCCCCCTCCACGACCCGATCATCCAGCAGCAGTAGCCTTGGCGGACGCACTGTCTCGCCGGAAGTGCAAAAGGCAATCTTCGCTGCCATGGACATGTACTCGCAGATCTCTGTGCAAGATCAACTTCAGAGTGCCATGAACACGAGCCGCAAGGCTTTGGAAGCACGCATTGGAGCTGTCCAGGACAGTCATGTGGCCACCTTGACCCAACTCAAGAAGGACTGGGAAAATCAGAGGCAGGATCTCAACCAAAAGATACAGGGTTATCGCAGCGAAATTCAAAACTTGAAATCGGACTTCAACATTCAGCAGGAGTTACTCGAAGAAAAGGTGAGGACGGAAATGGAACTTGTGGACAAGTTAACCGAGGTCACGACGGCTCTAGAATCCAAAACTGTATTTGACGACGCGGCGGTCGGGGAGATTGCACGAGATATTACTATTCATTCGGCTGATCTGGAGAAATCCAACAAGCAGGTAGACGCCCTGAAGAGACAGAACAAGGAACTTTTGCTCTTGCTTGAAACTCTTTTGGATCAGCAAAACTCTTTGAAGCTCTCGCTCGACAAGCTTGCTTGGGATTCCAATGCCAAGAACCAGGAACAAAAAGAGCTACTCAACAAGTACATGCTGAGCTCGGAGCAATCGACTGAAATGTCGGAATCGTTCTCCTCGGAATGGCAGTCGCGACTGGAAACCACTTCGATTGATGTGTCCACAAAATTGAGTAAGATTCTCAGGGAGCAAAAGTCAACCTTGGCAGGATACGATGGTGAAGAAAAGAAGGAAAATAGTGGTGTGATTAGTGTTGCCAGCAGCCGGAAAGACCCTTGAGTTATGTCGTCGTCGTCACCCCTGGTATGGCAAAAGTTCCAGCCAACAATCAGCAAAGTCACGGATACAGTATCAATATATGCAGATTACATGGTAGTAGCAGATATATCATCTATCGATCTATTACATGTAGATAGTTAGCAGATACCGGTAGCCGGGAAAGGATGTCTGGACTATATCTGGCTACGAATAGCTTCCAATTCCTTTTCCACAAATGAATCGGGCCTGATGCCCTGTTGTTGCATTATTCGGAGTATTCCTTCAGCAAGTTCCTTCTTTTCGGGATGGTGGCTGCGTGAAATCACTTGCAACATGGTGCCAAAGGTGAAGTTGTTCGGCATGACTGACCGATTGCCTAAACGGGCCGATTCAAGCATTTCGTGAAGGAGCTCTTGACACGTTGTGATGGCCGTGGGATCCAAGTGAGCCACATATGACCAAGCCAACATCACGGTTGTGTAAGAATAGACGTTCGGCGGCGCACGAACGTAACCATTCCCTGGACCCAAATCTGCCATTCGACGCAAAGTCTTGAGAGCCATTTCAGCTGCCCCGGGAAGCTTGGATCGGGCGTGAGCACCGATTACACCGTTGAAAGATGACGAGATTTCCATCTTTTTGCCGTCTGCCAAACTAAATTCTCGGCACATGGAGAGGATCCGTTCCAGGAATTCTTCCGCTTCCTTGGCCATTCCTCGTCGCGAGTAAGCGCTTAGTATCACCGAAAAATGCATTGGGCCTGGTCGCAGCTCCAACTCTTTGGTTCTTTCGAATTGTTCTGTCATGTTGTCAAAATGAGCCATAGCCATCGTTAGCGAATCATCATTGGTCGTATCTCGAGCGTATGCCCCTATGAGGGTATTATAGGTGAATTGCGAAGGTCTAAAGTCTTTGTCTCTTGTTTCCATGTATCTTGTTTGCAACTCGTCAAACAAAAGTTGAACCCGCTCAACTGTCTCCTCCGAGCGACTCTGAAGCCAGCAATTCATGACTGTTGTGTAGCTGATTACTGTGGGCTTTAAATTGCGGTTGCCGGCCTGGTATAATGCCTGCATGTGACGTAAGATTCTTTCGGCGTGTTTGGGTGCAACAATGCTCCTTTGGCATCTAGCAAAGCAGTCTAGAGTGGCATTGAAACTGTAGGCGTTCGGTTTAATATCCTCACCCAACACAGACCTTAGCTCTTCCATGCGCACGAGAATCGCCTCTGCATGCTTCGCATCACCCCAGGGATCCTGCGATTTGCGCTTGGCAAGGGCATGCAACAGGGAAGTGAAACTCTGAACATTTGGTTTTGCTTGTCTGTTGCCCCCTGAATAGTCGTCCAGCGCCTTGTTCAGGATACTTTCGGCTCGATCTACGTTGCCAACACTGGCCCAAGCGTGAATTGTAGCGTTGTACTCGACGTTTGTGGGTCGAATTCCAGCGGCAACCATTGATTCGAATACTTGTTGCGCTTTCTCCCCGCCATCACGATGGTTGCTTCCAGCCCAAGCAGCGATCAATGACCCGTAAGATATCCTTGTCGGCTTGAGTGCTCCCATTCCAAAGTGATTGTACCGCTCTTCTAGCTCGTGGAAGAGTGTCTCAGCGCGAACTGGGTCGTTCCGACTGGCATCGATACAGGTATTGTATGATGTGGAATCCGGCATGAAGTCAACGGCCTTGGAAGAATAAAGATTCCACATTTGTCGAAGCCACTGTGCTGCTTTTCCCGCCTTGTTTTCTCCTCTGGATCTCGCAATCAGATGTAGCATGACATTGTACGTCACAAGGTCTGGTTTGGTCTCTGACGATTTCTCTATGGCGCCAAAGAGTTCCTCCGCTCGCTGCAATGCATCGTCTCGACGACTTTTGGCAAGGGCATGCAGAGCCGCGTTGTAACTCATAATGTTTGGCATTAGGTTCTGATTGCCAGTATTCTCGGCAAGATCACGCATCTGTGTCAATATCCTTTCGCACCGAGCATATGCCTCTTTCGATCGACTTCGGCTCCAAGCCCTAAGTACGCAGTTGAACACGTCTGCATTGGGGCAGAGATCGGGATCGTGACCACAAGTTTCATACAAGCTGTTCAATTGCTCCAAGATTTCGGTTGCCCTTTTGGCATCTCCCTTTTTGGCGAAGATGTTCATGACGGCAAGAATGCAGTTCATGGGTGGCTTGAGCACCTTGGACTCTTGCCATTGTTTCTCAAAGTTTACAATCAAATCTTGCAACAGTTCATTGGCTCGTTCGGCTGCTTGTGGATCCGTGCTGGAGCTCCAAGCTTTCAAGACGCCCAGATGAATCTCCCCATTGAGAGGCAGCTGCATCTGTTTCATTTCTTGTACTAGCAGTTGTGCTTGTTCTGCTGCCATTGTCGAGTTGCTGTTGGCCCACGTGTGAATGATAGTTCCATATGTTTGCGTGGTCGGGTGTAGACCATTCCAACCGGGTTGTTTGGACAAATCTTGAATGATTTGAAGTATCTGTTGTGCTCGCTCGGGTGCTTCGGGATGTCTCGAACGGGACCACGTGTTGATGGTACTGTTGAATGTGATAATGGACGGTCTCAGAGATGGATTGGAGTCGCAAGTTCTTACCAGACGATGCAGAATTTCCTCTGCGATTATCGGGGCAGGTGTTTTGGTAAAGTGCCAACCTATATTCCCGTAGACATCTGATGTTTCCGCTGTAGGATTGCCAATGATAGATTGTTGTAATGAGTGAAGTTGAGCAAACGCCAGGGCATCAATGATGATTGAATACGAGTGCACACTGGGTTGCAAGGGCAAGGGCAAGTGCGAGGTCAATTCTGGCACCGAATTGTGAAAGTCTCGAAAGTAGTCCACTTTTTCCAGCATGCTGGCAGGACTGGGCAGGGTGGATATGCGTTTGGGTGATTTCAGGCTTTTGGCACATGCTTGCCAGTTGTGGATTGTAAAGTTGAGTGATGCCGTATGTAAAACGTCTGGCAACGGCAAAGCTTGTTTGTGTTGCTGGCACTGATGCGAATATTCCTTGATGAATCGATCCAGTAAATCCAAGGACGCAAAGACACTCTCGACAGTGCGTTGCCGATTCCAATAGCGCATGGTCCATTCTGCTTCGTGCCAAGCTCTGGAGTCAAAGCTTCCCATAGGAGCCTGGATCATTCGTTGGGTAGCATGCTGGTAAGAAAGCATTCCTGACTTGGTCTTGTCGAGAGAAATCTTGGTGATAGCAGCATTGCGCTTGCTGCTGGCGATGCTCGAGACCCCATTGTTGGTACCACTGCTACTGCTACTAGCGCTGGTAGATAGATGTCGTTTCAGCTCCACTGCAGACGATTCAGGTGTCCGATGTCTTGCCGCATAGAAACCAATCTCTCTGTGGTACCGGTATCTTTGCCATGGAATCCTTCTACTAATGTTGCTTGAAGACATCCTCTCTATCGAAACTTAATCAAGTCTTCGTCCTTGGAGTCAAGTCCAATTGTGTTACAAGCAGCAGCATACCTGGTAAGGTAGCAGGTATCTTGGTCTCCCACCAGTGGCAACCAAAGGAGGCAACGAGGAAAGAGCAAGATGAAGGACCAGAGCCACAGAATCGATTCGATTCGATTCGATTCGATTCGTTTCGATTCGATTCTATCAATTGGAATGGAAACAAGAATGGAATGGAATTGAATCCATTGGAATGGAAACAAGAATGGAATGGAATCCAATAGAATCATTTCGAAGTACCAAGATACTGTAAACTGTAAACATGTTGTGTACGTACGTGTGGTACCGGTTCCAGGCGACCAGCCGGCACCAGCAGTCTGCCAACTGCCAACCTTGATGGCTCAATCGTGCATTCTCGTTCTTCGCTTCTTCGATCGTTTGGGTGAACCACGAGCAACAAACTGGTCCTTCCTCTATAGATCTACTACAGTATGCATAGCTAGTAGTACTACTACCGGTAGCTACTAGTAGCCAGTTCTTCGCTTCTTCTTTGGAAAACCGGTGCATCTGAAGGTATCTTTTGTTCTTTCAATAGAGAACACTCCAATCAACAATCGGTTGGCACTTCCTTGTCGGCCTTCATCATCAAGCTCCACCAGTTTTCTGCTAGCCCTGCCAAGAGAGACCGGCTGAGAGTGTTTGTTTGGTGTCCTCCTTTCCATAAATATTATCCATCCTATCCATCACCAACGAGAACACAGCTAATACCATCAGGAGTGGTTCTTTGGTGTTATCTTGTTGTTTTTGAAGAAGAAACTGGTGGACCATGTCATCTACCGAAGAACAGCAATTCCCCGTGGCGCATTTGCGTCCAACTTTGGATGAGCAGTTCAGCTTTCGCAGCGACGTGTCCAACAATGCGGATAATATGGCACTAGATGCTTCCGCCAAGACAAGTCTTCAGAGCTTTGTCGCCACGGAAGAATGGTTCCAGGTACGTACCGATGAAAGTCAAACCAAATCCCTACTGTCTTTCTTTCTTTGGTGCTAACTAACCTCTCTGTATGTACTGTGCCCTTTATCCATTTTCAGAAACCCCTCGTTGTGGTGGTGATTGGTGCCAGTGGAGATTTGGCTCGCAAAAAGACCTACCCGTCGTTATTTGAGCTCTACCAGCATGGCCTTTTACCCAAAGAGACTATGATTTGGGGATATGCTAGGACTGCCAAAACCCACCTCGAATTCCGGGATCATTTGCATCCCCACTTGACCCCGGGCCAGATACCCACTTCTTCCAAGAAACTCAAGGATTTCTTGGAATTGTGTTATTATCACAATGGAAAGTCCTACGGTGACAATGAAGCCTATGCCGCAATGTTGGGCGAGATCACGGGCATGGACACGTTCAACGCGAAGGATGCCAATGTGTTGTATTGTAAGGACATCTTGCTTACTAGTATGTATCTATTGGTGTTCTTGTATTGTTACTGACCCAAAATTTAATGCCTTGCTTGTTCTCCTCTCCCAGACTTGGCCATCCCGCCCAATGTCTTTGCCGAAACTGTTGCCACGTTGGAAGGTATGCCCAACGCTGTTGTCCAAGGCAAGACGAGGTTTGTCATTGAAAAACCATTTGGTAGAGACACGGCTTCTTGCCAAGCACTCCTGGATGGATTCAAGGGCTTGGGCGAAGAAATGCAGTTTCGCCTCGATCACTACCTTGCCGTAAGAACTCAACAAATGAAGACATGCACACATGGCGCATTCTTTTTTTGTCTCACATCTTCTTCTAATCTGTGTTTCTTTTAAATTTTTCACCCAGAAACCCATGGTGGAAAACTTGGCGACCCTGAGGATGGCGAACCCGTTCTTGGAAAACATGTGGAATCATGAGCACGTCGAGTCTGTCCATATTCGCTTCAAGGAACCTTTCGGGACCCAAGGCCGTGGCGGCTATTTTGATCAATATAACATCATTCGTGACGTGTTGCAGGTAAGATGATGCCCACCGTTTCTGTTCCACAGTGGCATGGTCGTGGCGGGCTAACGAATGAATACCCTTTGTTAGAACCACCTCTTGCAAGTCTTGCTGCTTGTCGCCATGGAACTTCCGAGCTCCCTCTTTGATTCGGCCGGAGACGAAAGCGACTCGTTTCGTCAGGCCAAGATTGAAGTGCTCGAGAGAATGCCTCCAATCGTCCTGGAAGATGCCTTGTTGGGACAGTACGACGGATACAAAGACGACCCAACCATCAAGAACAAGGACACCAACTGCCCAACGTATGCTGCACTCCGCTGTTTTGTGAATAGCAAACGCTGGAAGGTAAGTCATGAGAGCAAAGCATTGATGTTTCTAGAACACAAACATGTTTGCTAACACCAACAATCTGCTCTCCGTCGGTGACATTTTACAAAATTGAAAAACAGGGCGTGCCATTCATCTTGGAAGCTGGGAAAGCACTTGATCAAAAGGTGGTGGACGTGCAGGTCAAGTTCAAGAATCGCCATCCCTTCCCGTCGAACATGGTGACCATCGAAGTCCAACCCAAACCCAGCATGACAATGACGGCACATATGAAGCCCCTTGGCGGCGCCAGCGGAACCATGGACGTTACCACGACCAACCTAACGACGGACTATTCTTTTGATGGCAGCGATGACATCCTCAGCAAGCCGATTGAGAACGCCTATAGTCGTCTCTTGCTCGATGTCCTTCGTGGACATCAGAACAACTTTGTCCGTTCTGATGAGCTGGTCCGCAGCTGGGAAGTGTTCACTCCGTTGCTGCATCAAATTGAAAGGGACAACATCCAGCCTGTCATGTACGAGTACGGGTCGAGTGGCCCCTCCTCCAGGCCTGCCTTTATGGATGAAATGGTTCAGGCAAACATGAAATCGTCTTTGTGAACCTGGCGGCGAGGCTTCTTGGTTCATCTCCATGCATTCATGAAACTTATCACCAGTATTAGTTACCCTGCACGGGCAGTATCAACACAGCTATCAGAACTACACCAGCAAGTCTGCCTGACTAACCCAAACAAATCCAAATATACTAATGCACTCTTATACATGCCTGAATTCAATCGTTCGTTACTACTGCGGTGACTACATGTAGTTGAACAAGATCTCTCGATGCAGCAATGGTCCGTCCCTCGTGTTTCCTTTCTTGCGGTATCGGGCTCTCTTTTTTGCCTAAGCTCATTGGGATTCACACTCTTGGAAGTAGTTTTTCTGTAGACTACCCTTCTTTTCTTAATGTGATGGTTGCGGGATCGAGTGGGTACACGTACTGTAATCCACTGGTAGATAGATGAGCTGGAACGGTTCAGGTCACCGCAGATGGAAGCGAAGCCAACAATCGATGACATCTTTCTACCAGAAAAACAGCGTAGACAGGCGGTTACCTGCTACTAGATAGTGTAAAGCAGAAGGACGACAGGTACAAGAGTAGAGGGAAATGCATTTCGTTTATGTAGCAAACGCTTGGTGTTTCATGGTTACTTAGTTCGTTGGGTTAGCAAATCGCCGTTGCTACCTCAGTTCTCCTGACACGCAGCCAACAGAGGTCACCACCGCCACCCTGCCGCTCTCAAGCCCCGCCCCTTTTAATTTGACAAATAGATCTTCGTACGTACGGTACAGCTCATTTATGAGTGCTATCGAGTGTAGCTTCATTCTTTTCCTTTATTCGTTGGCTGGCCGCCTAGGCTTCGTCAATCATTTGGAACAATTGGAACTTCCACCTCACCGCGGTTCGTACGTCCGAGGCATCGGGAAGAGTTCGTAGGAATCGCTCGAGCTTGACCAACTCGCTGTCGTGGGGATCGTCAAACCAGGATTCAATTGGTATACCATTGTCGACCTGATACCCAAATGCATGGGGAGAATTGTCAACGAGGACTGTCTTCGATAAGTCTCTGCCGAGAACATTCAGGTCCTTCAAGTAGTTGCCTTCGACGGCCAAACATGACTCTCGATAGAGTCGGTGATGGATGTATTTGCCCTCTGAAGTGATGGTTGCAGAAACAATAGAAAAGAGTCAAAAAAGTGTAAGCATTAGACAATACGATAATATTATTCGGAGCCACATCATCAACTTACCAGGATCGATCAGATTCAACAATTCGTTGGCATACACTTGCTGACTAGCCGTGAAAACAATAACTTCGTACTTGTCCTTGATTTTTTCAAGAAAGTCGAACAAGTGGGGGCGAAGGCGAACATGGACCTGATAAGTGATTCCATGGAACACCACCGGGAACTGCAAATCAGCGTCAGGTGTGGGTTCGACGGTGCAATGGACAAGTGTCTCATCCAAGTCAAGGACCAGAGTGACAGGAGGAGCGGAAGGGTCCTTTGGCGGGAGGGTGATCGGAGGCCTCAATGCCTTTACGATGTCATAATGAGGTAGGTGTTTGATGAAGAGGTAGGGGTTGAATTCTTCTTCCTCAAAGGAGCTTGATGGGTCCTCCTCAATGTTTCGCATCTCTTGGGTTTCTTCATATTCTTCCTCTTCCGAGGAATCCTTGCAGATCACAGTGGTAGCGGCGGTTGGCTGAGTGTCATCATCACTCGACTTTTCGGGCTTTGGAGGGTCTTCCATTGTAGCGTCTTCGTCGGTCACAGCAGCAACATCTTCATCCTTTGCGGCGGACAAGAAGCTGAGCACAGGAGAGAACAACGCGTCAACCTTTCGACCAACCCACGAGGAGTCGGTGTTGTCGTTGTCGTCAGCCTCCACCACAACGTCTTCATCATCTCTGTGGACTGGACGAGGAGGATGCATGGGGCTCATGGGCACTCCACCGCCGCCGCCAGGAGACATCAGTGAGGAACGCGTTGTCTGCTGTTTCGCAGGAGTTGACAGGTCTTTTGCTGCAGGAGTAGCAGCCACCCCAGCCGTCGACACAGGTCGCTCTAAGGAGGAACGGGGCCTCTTGGCTGATGCAATGGGCGATTGAGGATTCTCATAGTTGCTTCTTGCCGGCGTACCAGCAGCTTTGGACGTCATGGTGGTGGAGATTCTGGTTTTCTGCCGACTTTCTAAAAGTGTTCTTGGGATTAAATTTTCTCTCGTGTGGAAACACTTTGCCAGAGTGCCGCTCACAGAAACGCCAGGAGACAGACGATTCCAAGCACAGGTTGCTAATAAAACGAGTTTAGAGACTTGTAGGAAGAGCAAATATGGCAGGAGCGGTCGATAGATTCCTTGGTCTTTTGACGGGTTGCCAAATGGAACAAGTGCAATCAATCAAAGGAGATGTCGTTGGTGTTGCTGCTGAAGTCCGCTTTTGAACAGGGCTTTGAAAGTCTGCCAACCATCATCTCGGCAAAAGAAACTGCCAAGAACGTTTTCTCGTTGAAGACTTAGGCAGAGGTGGAGGGCTGGGTTGGGTGTGTGGGTGCGCGATCGGCTTGCGTTTGAAACATACGGGACTCAGTTTTGTTGAACCTTTCAGTCGGGTCTCCCGGCCTCCTTGGCGTGGCCTCACTGACGCCAAATTCGGCGGGGCCCACCAGGAGGGTACTGTACAAACCAGGACCTATCTCGGGGGCATTATGCTTGATTTGTTGGTAAAGATCAGGTACCGGTAGAGTGATCTGCCCATTAAGACCCGCAGTAGATTAAGACTATTGTAATATTCTAGGCTGATACCTTAAGACTATATTATTATTATGGCTATATAGCTTAAGACCTGGCTGAAACTAGGGCATTCCAGTAGCCAAAGCAGCTACTGGAGCTGCTTTAGGCTTCAACTGTACCTGTAGCACATCAGGCTTGGACTCAATCCTGTTCTCCAATTCAATTACCAGGCTTCCCTTCGCCAATTTGGTGTCCGCTTTGGACCCAAAGTAGACTGTCAACAGGGAAACGATCTCGGGCTTAGTCAGGGAAGCAACAACCTGCTTTCGCCCGAGCTTCTCCTTTGCCTTTGGAGCCAAGCTGTTGAGGCTTGCTGTGGCTTGGCGTTTCTTTTCCACTGCTTGCTTCTTGTGTAGCTCGTCGATCTGAGCCAAACTATCAGTGAGTATCTGCTTGTTTTTCAATGTCAGCAAGGCCTTTTCATCATTGACCAAGGCGGCGTGATTCTTAACCTTGTCACTCCCATCCAGTCTCCTCCTGGCAGCTTTCATCTTGTTCGTTGCCACCACATTCTTATGAATAATCTTTCTCTTGGCCGCCATCGCCTCGACTGCTCCGGACAGCTTCTTTCGATTCTGCTCCGACATGGACACATCTAGATGCTTTGACGGTGACATCTTGGCATCAAACATTGTACGCTTCTCGCACATGTGCTCGAACAGCTCAAGACCCTTCTTTGCTTTCGGCTTGAGCAGGAACATGTCCAGCCCATCATTAGCCGTCTTCCGCTTGGCTTCAGCCGATGCAACTTCTGGATCAACAGCCGCTAAGGCTACTGCCTCTTTGGAGGGAAGCATCCTATCGAGCTGCGAAGGATCTTCCACTGCCATTTCAATACAGACCCGCAAATTCTGCAATTGACTGGCAGGGACGAATGTCTGCTCCATAATTTCCATTGACACCATTACAGAGGAAGTTGCGCAACACGTCAAGGATACTCTGAGCATCAGTGCACGCTTCTAACTCCCGATATTGAGTGAGATAGGTTGATCCGCGTGATCCACTGCTATTGTGAAGTGAAAGACAAAAATCCCGGTAACGACACAGAGCTTTAAAACTCCTCACGAGAACTGTTCCAGCTATTGAAACTCACACCGTATACTTACCCAAGCATACCCAAGCCATCTGCAAGAGCACAGAGGCATACGAGAGGCTATAGAGGAGTTCGCTACTACCCTGAGCCACGAAAGAACACAAGAAACACCACGTTTTACGTGAGCTGTCAAAGACAGAGGCTATCCAGCCACCAACAGGTGCACCAAGAGTGACCAAAAGAAGGCTATCCAGCCAACAAGCAAGCTTTTTGAATAGACACGACGCAGTGTTATTCAACGTGAGATCCTTCCTGCAGGAGTATCCACACAAGAACACAAGCTAGTTCCAAGGAACAAGCAAGCACAAGAGTGCATTACCACACCAACGGCAACCATGAGATTCCAAGGAAGAGGTGGTCGTGGTGGAGGAAGATACCCTTCTAGGGGGGGTAGGGGATTCAATTCCTCAGGAAGAAGCCATCAAGGAAGAGGCAACAGCTACAGGAACCAGAACAAGAGTCCCAAGCGTCAGTTCCTCTTCCATCCAAATGGACAGGCTGACACCAGGTATTATCCTTTTGAGGAGACCCTGACACACATTGTCCAGGACCTAAGGATCAAGCCTGAGTGGAATGATGTGCCACTGGCTTCATTGGCCATTGAGACCATGACAAGTCAGGCACCTACCAAGCCGACCAAGCCTACACTCCAAGTGTCACTTACTGATCCCCAAGCACAAGAATACGATGCTTTGGAACTCAGCGAGTACAAGGCAAAGTCATCCATCTATGACAAGTCGACTCGATCCTATGAGAACATTCTCAAGACAGGTGCAACCACCATCCAGGTGACATACTGTACCGACGCCATGAAGTCCAAGCTTAGAGGCCTAGGAGACTACGAGGATGCAGTCAAGCTGGATCCCATTGAGTTGCTCAAGAGGATCAGATTAATAGAGTTCCCATTGCTACAATACATCAAGACCATCCAATGTGGCTTGTTCCCAAAGCAAGGAGACCATGACAGAGTTGACTTCTACTTGAGAAAGGTCGACAGCGACGTGGATCAAGTGTATGACCTGGTCGGAACGGAGTTCATTGATGCTAGGACTATCGGATTACCTGAATATCAGGCCGCATCGGGTCACGACGCCCAAGAAAAGGTGCTAGTGACGGAAAGGGCTAGGTTGAAAGCAACCGTGGGCTACCATGGCCTACAGGAAGGACGATACGGAGACTACCAGAAGACCGTTGAGGCAGCCTATGCCATGGATGGATCAATCCAGTTTCCTTCTACCCTGGATCATCTCAGGGAGACTTTGTCCAATGACAGGTTCAAGCCAAGCAAAGAATGGTTGGAACAGCGGAAGGGCAGGGAACGGAAACCATATTCCAATCCCAAGCCACCTCCTTTTGATCCCAAGAAGATGAAGGAAGGGCTCCCAGCTGCTGTCTTCTACCAGCAGTCCCAGCCAGGCGAAGCCTGCTACTGTTGTGGAAGCCCAGATCACAAGCTTCCGCAGTGCAAGGTGAAGTCGAAGATCCCCAAACCTGAATGGGCGATCAACAAGTTCAATGGCATGAAGAAGTCCTTCATGCCGCAGTATCATCAACACCAGATGCAGCTGCTCCAAGGAGTGCCAACCACAGTGGTGACGGCACCAGCTCCAGCTCCAGCCGGAGACTCTTCGACCAGGAGCGGATTCAGTGGAGTCCCTCCACCTCCTACGAGCCAGTCGAACTTTCAGCAGTTCCCCATGTCAAGCCAAGCCTCCCAGGCAAGCGCGGCAGGGTCATTGCAGTTCCACTTCCAGCACCATCAAGTCGATGGAGTCCCGCCCCTGATGGGCAGAGATGATTCCACCACCGACAGTGAGCCGGAAGCTTCCATCGACTGGGGAGCATTCGCTACCGATTTCCTTGGAGGCATCCCACTTTATGCAGAGGAGTGGAGGCATGATGAGACATCATCCGAAGAAAGCTATCACTCCGGCTACGGCCATGATCAGCTTGCCGAGGGAGGTCCTGACGGTGTAAGCATCGGATCCGACCTTATCCTTCAGCGGTATAATGAAACCCATAATATAATTGTGAGTCGTTCTGCCTTCCCTGACACCGTCTTCCACACAACTCCATGTGAAGGAGTGATCCCTCGGGATGGCCAAGACGATGATCAGAGCTGCTGTTCCGACTACAGCTCAGATACAGAGAATGAATTTCGCTGCTTGTACCGTGGACCCAGTCGGCGTCAGCGGGAGAATCAGCGAGGCAACTGTTATGAAGATTTCCAAGACCACGACTCACTATCAGTCGAAGAACAGCAACACCAAGTTGCGTTTGAGTTCCCAGGAGTGGCAGATGCCGAACTCACAGGAGTGGCAGAGCCCAATCTTGCAGGAGTGTCGGTCAAGAGCCTCATTCCTGATGGACCCAACACAGTTTATCTCGACAGTGGCAGTTCCATCTGCACGAACTGTCATGAATCAGGACATGATTGTCCGCCAGCGGCTCTCTCCAAGACCAATCGAGATGGCCACAAACGTTGGAAGCACCAAGCTTACCCAAGAAGGCGACACCCCTTATGGAAATGGTTATTCCAATCCAGAAGGCATCGCCAACATCAACGCTTTGTCTCTTGTTGTGGATGATTGCGTCCGGGCACAGGATGGATCCTATGTCCTCATGGACTCAAGAGTCGACGACGCCATCTACCACTACCGCCCAACTGGGATCCATACCAGGTATGGAAGGACCGCCAGATCCCTCAGCATGACATTGGAGGACATGAGTAGTGTCTTCTGGTGCTCCGCAGCGTGGGCAATGGTCGTCGTCCTGTTTTTGCCAGTGTTTGAGGGTAATGCCCACTCCACAGTTCTCAGAGGCGTGTTTGGTACACCACCTGCGCATACTCAACGGCAGAGTTTTCATCAGCTTTCCGCATACTTCCCAGTCGACCAGCTGGAATGTTTCAAGGGACAGTCTTGCAGGGGCAAGATAGTGGTCGGAAGTCCAGTATTCTTCAATGGCAGGGAGGCAGATTAGGTCTAACAACGCTTGTCGGTGTGGTGAAGCAAGTTTCCGCTGATTGTGCCAAATTGACCAACCTTCTCCGCCGATGAGGTGATGGGAGGGAGACCCAAATGGGTTCGCATTGACAATGGCTGTCCAGTACTCTTTGGCTTTGGCGTCCATGCGCACGTTGAGAGCTTCAAGGGGGCTCAGTTCGTGGCCTGCGTGGTCATCCATATGCCCGTCGATGTGTTCCGTCTCAAATATTACATTGCTTTGCTGGATGTGCATCCATAGGGCATGGGTCAAGTCAAATGATTGCTTG